AATTTTTCTCTAAATATGTGGGTTAACCCTTACGAAAAAACTGAATTTTCTGTTAAATGCTATCTATAATTTTTAGACATTTTAGTTGTTTAAAACACGTAACCACAATCTTATTGTATGTAAAATTAGGCTAGACATATCTTCTTGGTACATGGTCATCAATCCAAACTTTCCAATAAGTAATTTATTTAAACTTTATATACGATCAAATTAGTATACTAACCCCTATAAAATTTATATTTCTAGAGAAATTGGAATAAGGTTTCAAACATCTTTAATTTTCACACTATGTCAGTGCATGATGTAAATATGCCTTAAAATAAAAAGACCATATTTCTAATTGTTTTAAAATATGGGGGTTAACCCCTACGGAAAAAAAAAATTTCTGATAAATGTTATCTATAGTTTTTAGACAGTTTAGTGTTGTTTAAAAACACCTAACCACACTATCGATGTATATTAGTATAGGATAAACATATTTTTATGGTACATGATCATCATTTCTAACTTTCCAATGAGTAATTTATTTAAATTTCAAATAGATCTAATTAATGTACTAACCCCTATAAAATCTCTATTTTATAGAAATATATGCAAACACATAAGGTATCAAAACTCTTTAATTTTCATAGTATGTCAGTGCATGATGAAAATAAACATTAAAACAAAAATACCGTATTTTCTATTTTCTCTTCAAATATGTGGGTTAACCCCTACGAAAAAATTGAATTTTTTTGATAAATGCTATATATAAATTTTAGAAACTTTCGTGTTGTTTAAAAATACTTAACCACACTCTCAATGTATATTATACATGGTCATCAATTCTAACAATGAGTAATTTATTTAAATTTTATGTACGATCTAATCAGACTAACCCCTATAAAGATCTATTTTCTAGAGAAATGGGAACACATATGGTTTCAAACCTATTTATTCTTCATACTATGTCACTATATTATTAAAATAGGCATTCAAACTAAAATACCATATTTCTAATTTTTCTTGAAATATGTGTGTTAACCCTACGAAAATATTAAATTTTCTGATAAATGTTATCTGTAATTTTTAGACATTTTAGTGTTGTTTAAAAATACCTAACCACACTCTCAATATATATTAATGTAGGCTAAGCATATTTTCATGGTACATGATCATCATTTCTAACTTTCAAACGAGTAATTTATTTAAACTTCATATACTATCTAATTAGTGTACTAACCTCTATAAAATCTCTATTTTCTAGAGAAATAAGAACATATAAAGTCTCAAACCTTTTTAATATTCATACTAAGTCAGTGCTGATGCAAATATGCATTAAAACAAAAATACCAAATTTTCTAATTTTTCTTCAAATATGTGGGTTACCCCCTTTGAAAAAATTAATTTTTTCGATTCATGCTATCTAAAATTTTTTAGACACTTTAATGTTGTTAAAAATACCTAACCACACTCTCGATGTATATTAATGTAGGCTAAACATATTTTCATGGTACATAGTGTATTAGTCCCTATAAAATCTCTATTTTCTAGAGAAATAAGAATAATACTATGTCAGTGCTGATGCAAATATGCATTGAAACAAATTCAAAGGGACTTAGGGTTTTGTATATGCTGATACCAATTCCCAAGAAGAAGAAAAGTTTGTTAGGGTGTATTTAACTTAAGCCTTTTTTGTCTGGTTCTCTTTCTGGACTTAGGGTTTTGTATATGGTGGTACCAATTCAAAGGGAAAGTATTGTTGCAATTTGTAAAATTATAAAAATGGTTTCCTCTGTCTTTCTAGTTCATATTTCAGATAACAAAGAGAATGTTCAGAAAAATACAAAATTGCAGACTTTTCAATGACCATTATCCCTAACTATTTTACTTGAGGCTGAATAAACTGGAAACAGAATCAGTTCTCAAGTTGTTGTAAGGACAATGTGAGTGAACATCCCAGCTTGAAGATGTCTCCATTTTCTGCAGGAAATAAAAAGATAAATAGGTTGCTTCACAGACAAGTAATCAGAAATGAAAGATTTTTTTGAGGAGGGAAAAGATTATTACAGCGCCTAGAGATGTGGTTTGGTTTGAGTTTATGACTGAGTAATCTAGAGATCCTTGCTGGTGTAATGGAAAAGACCTTGAATCCACCATCATGGATGATAATTCATTGATATGAAACTCAAGCTCTGGATTTATGAAAGAGAGTTTCATAGACAAGAACACTACTTGTTGTTGCAGAGATTGGACATAGTTGATGATCTCATCAAGCATACCGGCTTTACCAGTAACTTTGTTGCATCCAGGAACAATCTCTTGAAGACATTTCATCTTCTTGCTTATCTTTTCTCTCCTTGCCTATCAATATCCCACAAAAAAATAACATTCAGGTAAAACCCTACAAGTAATCTCTCTGATACAATCTCTGTAATAACAATATTTCAGTTAATTACCCTTTCTGCTAAGCTATGTCTGTCAGTGGCTTCACCTCTTCTAGCTCTCACATGGATGTAATCTTGTTTCTGAATGTCTGAAGATGTCTCTCTGTTGCTCATGTTTGACTTTCCTTTCATGCTTGACTCTGTTTCATCCTCTGCTTTGATCTTCTTCTTCTTCTCTCTCTTTTCTGTCTTACCCTAAAACCAAAATTGGATTTAAGACCAAAGAAACAATCAAAATCATGTTTTAGAAAAATCTAAATCGGAAAATTAATGTTTTCTTGAGATACAAACCTCAGGTTTTCTCTTGTTCAGCAAGGCAATGACTCTGTTTTCTTCATTGTTCTTCACTGGTTCCATTTGGAAGCTACTTGTCCTGGAGATGCAGCCATCAATAGTAGTATCATAACCGGGTCTGAAACTCTGCAACACATCAAGATTGTGTCCCAAGTAATTCTCAACCCTTCTGAGCTCTTCTCTACCATCTGAGCCAAGCATCTGCAGAAACTCAGGTGGAACCATTTGTTGTTGTTGCAGCCATCTAAGTCCAGTCAAGTCCATGGAGAGAAGGTTAAGAAACCTAGAGCTCTTATCTTTTCTTTTGGAGTTTAAAGCTAAAGAGAGAAACAGAGAGTTGAGTTGTATGTCTAGGGAGAAATGTAATCCATTTGATAATAATTATTCTTAGGTTTAAATAGAAAGCAACATTGACCCACACACATGAGATTTGAAATCTAGTGAGAGAGTGACAAAAAGTGGAGGAGGTTGGAGACAGAGAAGGTGAGATGAGAGGTTGTGGGGTCTAAATGACATAACCTACCATGTGGTATTGTCCTTATGAACATGTGGTGAGGGGTGTCTTAACTTAGTTTTTGTGCCTTTCTCTGATTTTTTTTTTCATAATGAATTTTACTTCAAGAAAGAGTGTTTCTTAAGTTTGAGAGTGTGGGAGAATGTCAATTATGAATCATAACTTGAAGATGAATAGAAACAATGTTTAGAATCATGAGGGTGAGAGGTGAGGGATATCATGTTCATGTCTTGTTGTGACTTATTATTACTATCCATTTACCAATCTATACACTAACCAAATTTTTATTTTATTTCAAATATTAGTGAGATCATTAACAGAAAATTTATATCTGAGAGAGTACATCTCTCAAACTTTCATTATAGTTCTATGATTCAGAATACATTTCGAGAATATATTAGCAGATTAATTAGTAGTTTTGTTCTTGTTTTTGTTTCTTTAGTATTTTTGATGGCTCCCATACCTGTATTTTAAAAAACATTATACTACTTTATTTAATAGAAATTTGAAAGTGATAGGGACAACAAAAGAGATAGAGAGATCCAAAGAAGAAAATGGGTGTGAAGATAAGTGATAGGACGTTAGGCGACATATCAAAGTGTTTGGTCCCTATACATATCTTTTTTTTCTTCTATATTTTTTGTAATTACATATCTCTTACTATATCTATATACTGTTTTGCAAAGTTATTTCCCTTCATTGATGATTGGGAGATTCTTTATTTTGAAGGCAATAAGACATTGTAGTTTCTCTTGAATATCGTCAGGCTACAAGTTTATTTGTGAAAATTAGATAGCATAATGTAAAGTTGTAATAACATTGAAGTAGACGTCTGGTTCTTAAGTGCTGAAGAACTTTTTTTCAATTGTACTAAAATAGAGCTTGTATCTCTCTGTGGAGTTAGTTCAAGGTTAGTTACTACACCATGTATTCTTGTCTCTGTCGAACATTGGTCACATTCATTGCCATGTTTCTTTTGGAATCATCATCAAGAAGAAGCTGGTAATGAGATTTACATAAGAAGAGTGATCAAAGATTTTTTAGAAAGTTATGTAATTCACTTAACGAGAGGAAGCTGAGGACACCGTGACAAGCAAGTTTGTAGTTAAGCCACTGAAAGAAATTTTGTATCTGCCAAAAGGTGTTTCATCTTTTTTAAGGTAACGACTTCACACATATCTCATGTTTTGTCAACACAATCTCTGAACAAGAACATTCAAATCCAGAAGTGTGTTAAATTTTTCTAACTTTCCAGGAAGCCTTGTGTTGTTCACTTTGACCTTACTATATGACTTGCTTCTAGAGTTGTAAAAAGTAAACATTCTCTGTTTTCAGTTAGTTGTCTCTTAGTTTTATGAAACATATTTTTTTGTCCTATAATCATTCGATAATTTCGTAACAAAAACGTTGTTCATTTATTTGATTTCTTAACAAAAATGTTATTCATTTATTTGAATCACTTTGAACAATGAAAACATGTTATTCGTTTATTTGACCTACTTATGCATGCGAATTATATTAATGTAATATAAACTGAGTCTCGTCGAAGTTCCTCGATGATGAAAAGTCAAATAAGCTCAACTCATCCTTTCCTTCATATTAATTTATATTATCTTACAAAATTAAAAACCATAAAATTATTTGGACTTTACGAACTGGCAGCCAAACATGACCGCTTCTACTTTCAAATTAAATAAGATAAATAAACCATAAACTCTCACTACACATCTCCATATATAATAACCACACTGATGAAACTCTTCCGCACTGCAACACCAACAACTAAACCATCTCTTCTTTACATCAACTTACCAACAATTCTATTTTTCAAGAAAATCAAAAGAATGCAAACGCTAAGAAGCTTTAGCACGAGGACAAGAAGCCGTCGTGGAGGGTACGAGCGAGTAAGTGATGATTCAACTTTCAGTTTACTCGGAGCAAAGCTAAGAAGATCAACGAGTGTTCCTTACTACGCTCCATCTATAAAGCTTGGTGCTGGTGGTGTTCCGACCATTCTTGAGGAGCTTCCACGTCAGAAATCCAAGAAAGTCAAACCAACAAGCAAGTTTAGCCACCCTATCTTTAGCTTTTTGTATGGGAAGAAGAAGAAGTCTACAACTAGGAAGCCTGAGTTCTCTAGGTATATGGAATATTTGAAGGAAGGTGGTATGTGGGATGCGAGAACTAATGCACCTATTATTTATTACAAGTAGATGATTACTTTTATGTAAAATGAAAATCAATAAACAAAAATTAAACAATGTTTAATTGAAATGAGTTTATATATTTTAATTTTGTGATGATATTTGTGTATTGTAGTTAAATTGCTTATAAGAATTCAAGTGTTGGACACAAAGCTGGATGTTTTTTAGCTTATTTGATTCGGATATATATGATTTAAAAGTTTCAAAGCAAAAGGTCGAGCAGTTTTGGTTTGACTCTTGAGACATGTATACACTAAAGGAAGTCTGGAATAGTGAATCTACATGTGGTTACGTGAGGAAAAAGGAAGTCTTCTCTTCTTCCATTTACTAAAACTGGAGATTTCCAAAAATGCAAACCCCAATCAATTGTTAAAACACTGAAACATGCATACAGTATCATATATTCAATATTTGCTAGTTATATATATATATATATATATATATATATATATATATATATATATATATGTTTTTGAGAAAGATATATATGTTTCATTTCATTATTTTTTAGAGCTTATTTCTCAGGACAACAACAAATGTGATGAGTAATTATATTTTTATTTTGAAAATATACAAAATTAAATGATTTTTTAATTTGTGTGCCTAAACTTAAAATAGCAACTAAAATGAAACGTAATGAGTACTAATTAAAAATAAAATAATAATCTTAAAATATATTCTTAGCATCACCTTTTAAATATTAAACCATAAACTCTAATCAAACTTTAATATTTTTTATTAGTTCAATTACAAGCTGTTAGAATTGGGCCAATATAAAGCCCATTATATGTTAGTCGACATTTATAGGCCCATTAACATAGACATTGACAGATCCGCCCGCCAGACACACCACTCGTCTTCTTCCTCTCCTCAGATTTTTAAAAATTGTTTTTTCTCTCCTTCCCTAATCTGAAATTGAATTTTCTTTCCTCTGCATCATCAAAAATATCACCGAGAAAATTCAAAAACCAATCTTTGCATCTCCACTCTTCGTGTATTCACACTCTTGCAGACAACGGTTATCTATTGTAATCCACTCGGATCAGGTAACATCCCTTGTCATGGTGTCGGATCTATTCCAATCACAATCTGTTTTTTTTATTGATCCCTGTGATTGATCCAATGATAGATCTTTGATTATAGTGTGAAATTGGATTCAAAGTTACCGTTTTTTTTTTTTGTTATTTGCTGATCTGAATTGTATACTGATGTGTGGACAGGACATAAGTTCTGTTAGGTTCTGCTTAAAGTTTGAGAAATGGATACGAATCTGGTGGAAATGTTTAGGGCAGGTTTGAATTGGGTTACAATGGCTCTGGATGCTCCTTCAGCTAGAGTTGTCTTGTTTGGTGTCCGAATCCAATGTAAGACATTTTGATTAATATTTAACTTTTCGACACATGGATTAAGGAAACAATTAATTTTATATATAAAACACAATTAAATATGTACCTAAATATGTAATTATTTTAACTAATAAAAAAAATTACATAATAAAATTAATAAATTTTGCATTAAAAACCGACACTTATTTTGTAACGAAAAAAAAATCTCTATTGTGACATTTAATATGAAACGGAGAGATTAATATGAAACAAAGGGAATACACTTTCTAGTGTTTTCACATGTATAAAAAACACATTAAATTACTATTATAAATGCTATTTTTTTGCAATTATCAATTATAAACCAATAGTTAATTCAAATCAACTAAATTAATTTACTTGAATTTTACAACTTTTGCATAGAAAAAAGAGTATAATATATAGTTTTGAGGCCTATGGAGATTATTAAAGGTTGTTTTTTTTCTTTGCAGGGCACATCTTTGTGGAAGTTTTGTTGGGTTTTGTAATTGTCATCCTCCTCTCTCAAAAGAGTTACAAACCTCCCAAGAGACCATTAACTGAGCAGGTTCTTTCTTTCTCCATCTCATTATGATCATAGGATTTTGCAAAAAGGAAATGTATTGAGTTTTTATTTATTTATTTAATGCTCAGGAAATAGATGAGCTATGTGATGAATGGGTTCCTGAACCTCTTATACCCCCAATTACAGAAGACATGAGGCATGAGCCACCAGTTCTTGAAAGGTGTGTGTGTGTGTAGAACTACTTTCTTTGCCCTTTTTAGACGTTATTCTTAAAGATTCTGTTTGTGTATGTCCATACCAGTGCTGCTGGACCGCATACAACGGTTAATGGAAAAGAAGTGGTGAATTTTGCGTCAGCTAATTATCTTGGACTCATTGGACACGAGAAGTTACTGGTAAAACGTCAACAAAGCTACTTTCTCTTCTATGTGAAACAGTTCTACTTAAAAAGATAAAAGTCTATTCCAGGAATCATGCACTTCTGCGTTGGAGAAATATGGCGTTGGTTCTTGTGGTCCTCGTGGATTCTATGGTACTATTGGTAAGAACTCAAAACATGAATCTTCTTCTTTCCTCTATCAGCTTGCTGCAAAATGCAAATGAATCTCTTACTGTTTTGATATTTTTTTGTTGCATAGATGTCCATCTTGATTGCGAAACAAGAATCTCAAAGTTTTTGAGTACTCCTGATACAATCCTCTACTCATATGGACTCTCCACGATGTTCAGCACCATTCCTTGTTTCTGTAAAAAAGGAGATATCATTGTTGCGTAAGTACACACATCTTCTTTAAACCTCTTTGATCTCAGTCTTAAACTCATTCTTGTCTTTTATGTTTTATTTTAGCGACGAAGGTGTTCACTGGGGAATACAAAATGGACTTCAGCTTTCAAGAAGCACCATCGTCTACTTCAAGCACAATGACATGGACTCTCTCCGTAGCACTCTTGAGAAGATCATGACAAAGAACAAACGCTCAAAGAACTTGAGGCGTTACATTGTAGCTGAAGCTGTATATCAGAACTCTGGTCAAATAGCTCCTCTTGATGAGATAGTGAAACTAAAAGAAAAGTATAGGTTCCGTGTTATATTAGATGAAAGCAACTCCTTTGGTGTGCTTGGCCGTTCTGGAAGAGGTCTTGCAGAGCATCATGGTGTCCCTGTACGTATAAATGAGACTTAACCATTAGCTAAACTCTGATTATAATGATTTTATTTCTCTCCTTGAAATAGATTGAGAAGATAGATGTTGTGACTGCTGCAATGGGCCATGCCTTAGCTACAGAGGGTGGATTCTGTACTGGGAATGCTCGTATTATCGATTACCAGAGACTTAGCAGTTCAGGATATGTGTTCTCTGCTTCTTTGCCACCGTACCTTGCAAGTGCTGCTATCACAGCTATTGATGTGATTGATGAAAACCCTGAGTTGTTAGTTAAGATGAAGCAGAACATTGCTCTGTTGTGGAAAGGGTTGAAAGATATCAAGGGGATGTCGCTAGCGAGCGACCCGGAGTCACCTATTGTCTTCTTGAAGTTGGAGAAATTGAATGGTTCAGCTAAAGATGACTTGCTTCTACTGGAGAAAATGGCTGATCGTGTAAGTAACATAACTGAATCTTAGAACCTTTGTTCTGGTTTTGTTGATATGACTGTGGATGTATGCAGGCTTTGAAGGAAGACTCGTTGTTGATTGTGAGCTCTAAGAAGTCGTTTCTTGATAAGTGCCGGTTACCTGTGGGGATCAAACTCTTGGTCTCAGCTGGACATTCAGAGTCTGATCTTGTTAAAGCATCTGAGTCTCTGAAGAGACTAGCTTCAGAGCTTCTACTCTAAGTCCTGAAACACCAACTCATCCAGAGATGTTTGAACACCAGAGGAACTCTTTCAGACACTTGCATTTGAGAGTATAGATAAGATAAATTCAGAGACTCAAAAGCTTGTAGATGTTCATAAGCCAATTCCTTAACCAGTTGGCTCAGTTGAAGAAGAAGAGTTCTTGAAGATAATGGCTTCTTGTTCTTTACATTTTTTATGAAAATTTTTTCAAATGTTTTAGTTTGATCATTTGAGTTTTTTTTTTTTAAAGATATGTCTTAATCAATGGTATTGCATGCAGTTGAACTGTCTGGTTTAGTTTTCTACTAGAGTCAAAAAAGGTTGAAAGTTTCACCTTGAGATTGCTTTTACCTGCAGATTCATGTGTTATGGATAGACAAAAAAACAAAACAAAAGCTTATTTTATTTGGTTTGGTTACAAGAACATGAGTGTGTTCATAAGTCAAACAAAGATTGACACTTGGAAGAACTTTATGTTTTTGTCAAAAGAGTAGTTAGAATCTCTTCCTACTCTCTTCTCTTTCTCACTACACAAAAGTCTTGAGACTTACTCTTAACATATTCTTATGTATTGTATTAGCCAAGCCATTTGCAAAAGTAAATATTATTTATTTCCAATTCTTCTTTTAGGTTTAGTTAAATCTAGGCATTATATTACTGTTTTTCTTTCTTTCCTTTTAAGATGAAACTCTTCTGTTCATACTTGTTTTCTTTTCTTGGCTTTTAAATTTACTTATAAGAGAGATAAAGAAAGAGTTTAACAGTTTTCAGATTATTGTTATGAGTCTTAACATATGGATAAAGCTTAACTTTCATATATTAAAAATACTCAAAGCTTGCTTAGCTTTTCCCCCTCCAACTAAGTCAAATCAATTGTAAGTAACTAAACCAAAAAAAGGAGGTTAATTAGTCAAACTTAGCATGCAATGTTGGGTACCAAACCTTAACTTTAGCCTCTTCTTTTAAAACTTGATTTAGCTAATAACAACTCCACTTCTTACTTCTTCTTCAAAGTCTTTCCCTATAAATACATTCTTCCTCTCCTCTTGCTTCATATCCCTTCTCCTTTCTTCATCTTCTTGTTGTAAGTAATGGCAAGACTCACTAGCTTTCTCTTTGTTCTTTCTCTTCTTTGCTTTCTCCCTCTTTGTCTCTGCCATAAGAGCTATGGAGGCAAACTCTCACCAGGCTTTTATGCACATTCATGCCCACAAGCCGTGGAGATCGTGAGATCAGCTGTAGCTAAAGCTGTTGCTAGAGAGACCCGTATGGCTGCTTCCTTGATGAGACTTCATTTCCACGACTGTTTCGTTCAGGTTCGGTTAAGTGTATCATATATTTTTTGGTTGTTAGGTTTAGTTACTTATTGAGCAAGGTAACTGCTAAATGTAGGGTTGTGATGGCTCTTTGCTTCTAGACAGCAGTGGTAAGATAGCGAGTGAGAAAAACTCAAACCCTAACAGAAAATCAGCTCGTGGATTTGATGTTATCGACCAGATCAAATCTCAACTTGAGAAAGAATGCCCTGGAACTGTCTCTTGTGCTGATGTTCTCACCCTAGCCGCTAGAGACTCCTCTGTTCTTGTAAGTCTCCTCCACAAGACAACCTCTCTTGTCTGGAAAAAAAATTAGCTGATTCGGTTTGGTTCTTGGTTTTTAGACTGGTGGACCAAGCTGGATGGTTCCATTAGGAAGAAGAGATTCAAGAAGTGCAAGCTTGAGTGGTTCTAACAACAACATTCCCGCACCAAACAACACTTTTCAGACAATTCTTACAAAGTTCAAACGTCAAGGACTTGATGTCACTGACCTTGTTGCTCTCTCCGGTAAAATTTTAACACTATATCAAAGTTACTTCACATGCACGGAACACAATTTTTGAAAAAAAATATTCCCTCTGTTTTATCTTAAGTGGCATTTTAAGGTTATACACACACATTAAGAAATCATTTAATTTTACAAATTTTCAAAATAAAACACAATTACCTATAAAATTAATCATATTATAACCAATAAAAACATAAAAAGTAGATAAAAATAATAAATTATGTATTAAAATTATAAAACGACACAAACAAATTTTTTTCTCTAAAATGACAAATAAAATGGAACGGATGGAGTATTATCTTACTTCTTTTTGGGTAAAAATATTATACCTTACTTGTTTAACTATTTATCATCAGGGAGTCACACCATTGGATTCTCGAGATGCACGAGTTTCAGACAGAGACTATACAACCAGTCTGGAAACGGTCGTCCAGACATGACACTGGAACAGTCTTTCGCTGCTAACTTGCGCCAAAGGTGTCCAAGATCAGGAGGAGACCAGAATCTCTCGGTCCTGGACAAGGTCAGTGCGGCTAGATTTGACAACAGCTACTTCAAGAACTTGGTGGAGAACATGGGGTTGTTGAACTCGGACCAGGTTCTGTTCAGCAGTAACGAGAAATCAAGAGAGCTTGTAAAGAAGTATGCAGAGGATCAAGGAGAGTTTTTCGAGCAGTTTGTGGAGTCGATGATCAAGATGGGAAACATCTCTCCCTTGACGGGTTCGAGTGGAGAAATCAGGAAGAATTGCAGGAAGATAAACTCTTGAGTTTGTGATATGAGGAAATTGAAATAAATATACAAATATTTTGTGGGGAAAGAAATGTATGAATGGCAGTTTGGTTTGATTTGTTTGGGATATGTTGTATTTTCAATTTTCCATTTGAATGTTTATGTTGTGTTGTTTCTGCTTTCTGCTAAGAGTGAAATGTACTCCATATTTTAAAAACAAAATTGTTTCAAAAAGATAAATGCATTTTACGTTTTATGTCTTTTTACTAACTGATAACGGTAAATTTCAAAAAAAAAATTATTGGTTGAATTTTTATTAGTTTAAATTAGTGGAAAAAATAACTCATCAAAAATTATATTTATAGTCAAAATTTAATAGTTTTATTAATATATGCGAAAACATCAAAAATGCATACTAAAAGTATTATCTAAACACCATAATATATATTACATCATTCATTCTACGACTGGTAATTTTATATGGTTTATTACTATTTACTTGCATTACACTGAACCTATATTTGTATATCCAAAAAAAAAATTATAATTAATTTTAATGGTTAATAATGAATCAAATTTCTTAAATCTCAAACTGCAATTTTATATTATAGCAACATTAATAAATCTTTAATCAAACTAATGAACTAACTGGTTTCTACCCTAAATATTCTACAATAACTGCTGTTTTTTTTTTTTTTTTTTTTTT